GGCGTAATATTATTACATTACTTCGATTTTGTGAACTTCGTTTAAAATGGCTGCCACGTTTAAAGTAAATAATTTTTATTATTATTATTAATATTTTTTTTTCTCTCTCTCTGTCTGTCTCTCTCTCTCTCTCTAATTGTAAATAACGTTTGTTTTAAATTATTTTAAAATTTTTTAAATTTTTGTTTTTTTCGTATGTATTTTTTTTTTGTCAACGATCGTTAAATATTATTATTTTTCATTTTTTATTTTTTTATTTTTTTTTTTCAGACTCATGTTTTTCAAGTTGAAATGACATGCGATGGATGTGTTAAACAAATTTCAAATGTTTTAAACAGGTATAAAGGTAGGTATGCAAAATTATATTTATTTATTTATTTCTTATTCTGGTTTTTTTTTTTTTTAGTCACAAACATATGTGTCACAAACACCCCATGATTAATTGTAAAATTTATGGATACAGTTATGCATGTAAAGTTTATGTTGTGTTTATTAAATGTGTTAATTTTTTCTTTTACTTGGTTTGTTTATATTAAACTTTATTATTAACTTTTTTTACTGCAATAATTGTTCACATGGTTAATATAAATTTAAATGTCATCATTGTGGCTTTGAGAAATGACATGTAAAAGTAAATGTTTAGGTTATGTTTTAAAATTTTTTGTGTTAACAGTTCTAAAAAAACACATAAGAAGTCAATTTTAGATTTTATCTCCTACATAATTCTATCATTTTTATAAAGATTCAGAGAGTTTCTATGAGATGCAATCTTAATATGGAATTTTGAAAAAAAAATTTGTATTAATCGAAAGGTTTTAAGTTTGTATTTAACATTAACAATAATTTTCACAGTCGCAATAGTTATCAATATGATACATATTAATGTCATCCTTTGTTTTTTAGTCGTTACAACTAATTAAAAATAAATGTTTATTAATGAATGTAATAATTTTTCAAGGCCAAATACAAAGTAATCCATATCAGAATAAGAATTTGAATTTGGAGAATGTTTTTTATTTTATTATTTACTTTTATTAACTACCTTATTCGTTTTAAATGTATGTATGTATTTTTTGTTTTCAGATCAAGGTATATCAAATTATGATGTTAATTTAAGTGAAACTAAAGTGACAGTAACAAGTTCATTGTCTGTTGATGATATTATTAATATTATTAGTAAAACAGGTAAAAAAGTTGTTTATATCGGAGAAATATAAATAAAAAAATAATAATTTTCTAATATTTCATTTTCCAATCGATTTTTTTTTTTTCGGCTCACAATAAAGAGTTATTTATCGAAATGGTTGTAATTAGAAATTCTTTAACAGTAAAAGTTGATTTGTGTAATTTATATTTTTATATTATATCATTTATTTTGTGATTGTTTTTTCTTCTCTATATAATCATTTTGCTATACAATATTTTATACATAAATTTTTTTCCAATTATTATTATTATTTTATTCAAAGTAATAGTACTTAAGTTGTTATTACTTTAATTTTGAAAATTTTCATTAAGAAAGTTTTTGGTGCTCGAATGATTTAAAAAAATAAATATATATTTTATAAAAAATATATAACATTTGTTATTAAAATTTTTTGTCTTATTTACATTAAGTTTTTTTTAAAATAAATTAAATATTCATTTAATATCACAACACTACCATATTTTATCATTAAAAAAATGCTTTTAACTAAGATTTGTACATGTTCATTTCGAAACGGTGAAAATTTTTTTTTAATCGAGTCAAGTAATAAATGATTGAAACAAATAAGCAAATTGTTCTGTTTTTAATAAAATGATTTTTATCTTTTCAAAATTCTAACAAATGAACATGTATTAATAATTATTTCATTATCTTTAATCTGTTTTTATAATACTAATTTAAGAAAATCTGTAAAAATTTCATAAAACATGAAAGTAGCAGATACTTCCATGCATACTCTTATTAATCTAGGTGACACTCCTCTATAAAATGAATAAAACCCTTCATTTTGACATATTTTTATAAAGCAATCTATTGTGTTTTTGTATTTTTTATAATTCAATCCCTGCATTCTTGTTTTGACTACATCAATAGGATTTGTAACGAAAACACTAATAAAACCACCAACCATACCGAAAAAACCGACAAATATCTTTGGGACAGGAGTGTTAGGATTATCTTTTTGATATAAACTTTTTAATGTACCAACAACGAAAAACCTTATTCCCTGATTACCTGATTGCTTTAAAACTGAGGGAAAAAGACCTGTGTACAGACTTTTAACACCTTCTTCTTTTACTATTAAAACAGCACCATGCAAAAACCCTTTAAACCTTGATCTACCTAATCTTCTATCATCTATTAGTTTACATTCAACTGCTTCTAATGGTGTGTTAACAACTGCAGCTTCAAAAGCTCCAGCAAACAACCCACACAAAAATCTATTTTTCGGACTTAATTTACCATCTTTGTCAACATAATGAGTTTTTAATGTTTCAAAAGCTGCAAAAGTTGTAGCCGATCTGGCCCCATAAAGAAACACATTTAATCCTCTGTAAAGGCCGAGGATTCCATGATTTTTAATGGTTTGTTGAATACAATCGATAACTCCATTATATTTTTTCCCTTTACCAAGTTTTTCTTCCAACTGCAGTTCAGTTTTAACTAATTTGATAGGGTAACTTATACTTATTTGACATATTCCACTAAAGCAACCTGCAATTAATGCTTTTCCAGTATTGTCCTTTGAAAAAGTAGACATTTTTCCTGAATTAAAAAATAATTGAAAACGATTAAGCAAATTCGAAAAATAAACCATAAATTTGTCGAAAGTATCTTATAAGTAACTTAATCAATGTTGTTTTTTTATTTTTTAATAAATTAAATATTCAATATTTAAACTTCTTTTGATTTTCTTTTTTTTGGTGTAAAGGTAACAAATTATTCCTGTGGACAAAAACAATTATAAACATTAAAATTAATTTGTCTAAAAAAAATATTTTTATTATTGAATAATATTTTTTTTGTAAAGTAAGGTTAGTATTGAGTACTATGTTTTTGTTTATCAATAAATAAAAACTTACAAATTAATATAATGACATGACTTTTATAGAAAATTCACTTTTAAATAAGTTTTTATTGATTTGAACATGTTCAAAACTCAATAAATCAATTTCAAAATATTTTTTTTTTTTTTTTGCTTTTTTTCTTTCTTTTTATAAAAAGAAATATACATACACGTTATTGTGTATTTTTATCTCAGACATATGATATGACGTAAATAAATTTTATTATTATTTATATTGAATAAGGAGAAATAAAAAAAAAAAAATTTTTTTTAAAAAAGTTACCTTTTCATGTGTAATAACTTATATTTTTTTTTAAAAACAATATTTTACTTATTCTTATGATTGTGCATGCAAAAATATAATGAATTGAAAATATTTTTATTTATAAACAATTGGAAACGTTATAACGAAAACTTTTCTTAAGTCTATTAATAATAATAATAATAAAACAATTTTAAACAAATATCATTTAATAAATTAACAATCATGCGAAACTTATAAAAAGTTTTTTGTTTTTTTCCTCCCATTCTAATATAAAATTACTAAATCGATAAGAGAAAATTACACTTCAATTTCGATTTTTATTATGTTTATTCCTCGTGACATGATAATAATTAGTAAAATTAATAATAACAATAATAATAATTTAAAATAAAATAAAATATTATTAAATAAATAAAAAATTTAATCGTTTAATTAAAAAAAAAAACAAATCAAATATGAATTTAAATATATATATATAATAATGAATACGAATAGAGTTGTTCATTGACATTTCAAGTTAGTTTCAAAAACGTTTATTTACTCTATGGCAAAAGCTAAATTTGTAGCAGAAGACGGGGGGAATCACACAGTAAAATGTACGTATTTTTTGTAAACGTAAACAATAGTTGTTTAATTTAGTTGAAAGAAGTCGTTAGGCGTTTGTGAAAAATGTTTTTATTAACAAATAATAGTTTATATTCAATTTGAAAAGGGAAAAATTTAATAAATTAATTAATACATTTAATTAATCAATCAATTTTTATCATATTTTAAAACAAAGTTATTTAATAAAAATGAAGTCGGTGAGTTTAAACCACGCTACTTATCCCAGATGTCGACAAAATCAACATAGCTAAAGAAAAAAAAGGAAATTTCAACAAATACATTTTGAAATTGTATAATATAATGGAAGAAAATATTGATAATTCAGATCCCGTACTTATGGGATCATTTAAAATATCGAACAAACAATGCAGAGCTTATTTTCGTAAAAATGTTTTAATGTGGAAAATGGAAACTTCACCATTTGAATCGTGTACTTTGCCTATATCAGATATAATTGCTGTCAATTATGGAAATAAAAATGCATCTGGAGGAAATCGTTTAAACGTAAATGGTAAGTAAGATGTAAAATAATTTTCATATCCAAATATTATTATTAATTTATTTTTTTAAAAATGTATTCATCAATGTCATGACAAAAAATTTGAATTTTTTGTTGTTTCTTTCAACCTGGAAAATTTGTTTTTTTTTTTTTTTTTTTTTTTACTGGAAAGGAGTTGTGAGTTTAACATAAAAACAAGTTTTTTCCACAATTTAATTACTTTATTTTTACGTCATAAGAAGTTTTTTGTTATGCTATAAAAAATAAGAGGAATTTTTTTGAAAACCTTGGTCAACTAAAAAAAAATTGTTTTTTTAAATGTAAAATTTAAGATGGAAAAAAAAAAATTTGCTTTTATTTAAACAATTAATCTTGAATCAATATTGTAAAATTATTTGTTTTATTAATTAACACATTCTTCAACTATGTGCCACTTTATTTTTTATTTTTTTTTGCGGGGGGGGGGGAGAAAAATAAATAAAAAACATAAACATAAACAAAAACCAGGAAATGACTTTTTTCTTTAAAAAATATTTATTTATTTATTTAAGGTCATTAATAATTTTTATTTATTTATTTATTTATTT